ATAACGCCCCCATACACATACCCCCCCATCCTCTCTTCCCCAACAGTTTATACAATTTTATTTTTGAAATATACACACACGTCTTTAAGAGCATTTCTCTATTTTAGAAAAGACAGTGTCAAATAAAAGGCTAAATATATGCCTTTTGAGAAAAAGAAATTACATCTAAACAATTCTACCGTATTCCTAGGTCACAGACTGGCTCAATCTGTTAAATATGGTGCTACTGACTGTACGGGAAACTGATTAAGACATACACTTTAAGTGATCTGCGCCAAGGTGGCCTCAATGACCGCAAATGAGTGTGTGTTTGACAAAGATCAGTTAAAACGGTTTTTAAAGGGATCAGCCCCTTTTTAACAGTTGATTGTCAAGGAAAAAAAAATAAATATACATACACACACACACACACACAGACATTGCTTACCTTTACTCCTTTATCATTTTTTAATTAGGCCAGCAAATCAAAATGCCTTTCCCACTCCACTCGGCAAACAAGCCTGTGCCTCATTTTACTTAAACACCAAATGATCAAGAAGGAAGGAACCAAATAACACATCTCAGCCAGAATAATCACTCGATAACATTATTCCACTTCCCCACCCCCCTTTTGGCAAACGGATCAGTCCTTTTCTCCTTAAAAAAATGTGTCACTGTACAGCTGGAAGATAATGTTTCACATTCACAACAGAAGCACCAAAGGGTTTTTTTCCTCTTAACAAGCATCGAGAATAATAGTTTTTAAAAAAGAGAGAGCTTAGAGAAAAAAGTTTTCCCAACTTCTCATTCCGCCTTCAGTTCCAGACTTCAGAGTCACCGTGATCAGTAAGTAATGATCCCATGTAGCAAACCTACAGGCGTCCGCTAGTAACAAGACAGAATGTGCTAACATCGGGATAAATTAGTGAAAGGGAAGAAAGAATAAGAAGAAAGGACTGAAAATCTGGGCTGGATTCCGCCTGTTAGTCGGGAAGTGGCATTTTTCCGCCCGTCCTAACAGATTTGATTTCTTGAACTAACTTAAGAGGAAAGGAGGGGGAAGGGGATGGGGGAGGGAGAGGGAGGGAGGGAGCAGGAGGTGGAGGAAAGGGTGGGATGAGAAGTCGAGCAAGAGGAGAAAAAGAAAGGTGTGGAGGGGGAGGGGAGCAGATGATTCAGTGAGCTGATAAACCAGTTATACCAGCATTCAGGGTGGGGGCCGGGGGGCGGCGGGGTAGGGAAAATAACGGCGTTTAAAATTGGTTCAGTCTTCGAAACCTAAAGGATGTGATGTTTTCCTGTTTTATGTTGTTTTAAGAAAAAGGAACCGAGTTCCTAGTATAGTCCCCAAGGGGGGGAAAAATCCGCTGTCGTTCAAGCCGATCAGTCATGTGGTAATTCGATAATTAGAGTCAAAAAAAGATTTTTTTTTTAAGGCGACCTTTTTCAGGACAGTTTTTCCCGTTTATAGTCGCAGCAAACGGTGCGTCTCCTTTTTATTTATTTTTCTCTCCTCCTCCTCTCTCACCCCCCCCTCCTGTGTTTAGTCAGATGGCCCCAGAGCTTGGCTTAGTATTTTTAATTAGCTGGCGTTTGGAAGCTAAAAACAGTAATGAATTGTTGATAGATTGGAAGTGGAGAGTCGCTTTGCTGGAAATGTCGGGGCTGGGGGAGGGGGATGGGCGAGTTAGCAACAACCAACCATCAAAAAGGAGCGATTTTGTTACAGTGCAAGCCTTTCACATCACGTGAGGATCAAGGGCTCAATTGGTTGTCGTGAGAACAAAAATGGTGACAAGCGTATCAAGAAAATACTGATCTGGTCTTTAAAAAAAAGCTGAAGGTCTCTCCCCTCCCCGGCACACACTCTCCCCCCCCCCCGCCGCCTCCCCCCACTCCCGCCCTTGCAGTGGGAGCAGCTACAAGTTATGAATGTGAAACATTTCTCGCAGATCTAGGCTCTCGGAAGTTCGGAAGGAGTGAAATGTAATGAGTACAAGAGCAAAGCAGATGTTTTAAAGAAACACCTTATAAACCTTTCCTCAGCTTATCTCCAATTTGTCGTCTTTGCCAAGGGGCCAGGGATAGGGACGACTAGGCGAGGGGGGCAGGGCACCTCCACGCTACTTGGATTTTAGGGACCCCCCCCTCATGTCTTAAACAAAGAAAAACATTTTGCTAGCTCCCAATCCAGGTCCTGTAATAAACACACCATTGTTACTATTTGCGGGTTTGTTCGGGTTGGGTGGGGCACTTTTTCCCCTTAATGGTGTTTTTGCTGCTTGCTTTTTTAAGGAGGTGTAAAATGGTAATTATAACCATTACAGGTAATGGGTGACTATTCCCTTGTTTAATATTAAATTATGGGCACTAGATGTGACAAGAGACAGAAATCGGCTTGTTCTGCCCTTGCCCCCATTTTCCTGGTTCAGTTTGGAAGAGGGTCCTTCCCAGCTAGGATAGGAGAGGGAGGGGTGAGGTGCGCTAGAGAATGGACACTGCAGATCAAGATTTGTAACTGTGTCACTTTTATTCTCCTTGGGTTAGAGCCCCAAAGGTAGTTTACTCTAAGTTACGCCGAGTGCCCAGTCAAGCTTAATCTGTGTGAAGAAGTTACAAATGCTTCACCCTCCACTGAATAAAAATTCACCCTTCTTGGATTGTTGTTCTCAATGCAAAAGCCAAACCCTGTAACTAGTTCCTCATTTCAATGCATAAAACTCGCACATTCCCCTGCATGAAGTCCCCGCTAAGTGCTATATAGAGACACACCACGCAACCGTACTTACGGTCTGTATTGGATCGAGTTGACCTTTTCCTTCTAACTGCATTGAATGTGTTTGGTTGCAGCCGCTTTATTTTGGAAATTATAATCTCTTCAACAAATTTATTATTAAAGAAGATGGACCATCAAATGTCACAGACCGGCCTGTGTATTTTTTATAAAAAGAAAAATTCAAATTAAAAAAAAGAAAAGAAAAATTCCCCTGGTGCACACACACAACAAGCTTGTTCTGCAACACTGAAATCAGGACTGAAACACAACACACACACAGGGGGAGTGGAGCAAAAGGAGCTCTCAGCCTCTATACCTGAAAGGGACTTTTCTTTGTTCCCATTGCCCTTTCTCATCGGGCCAATCAGAGAGCAGCTTTTATGAAACTGGGCTCTCTCATTGGCTAGCTGCTTTCTCTTGGCTACTGTAGGGGGTTGAGATATACACACGTATAAAACACACACTGAGAGCGGGTGGGGGTCCGGTGGGGGGCGGTTGTGGAGACAAAGCGTTTTATTTTCCAACCAGATTGGGGTTGAGGAACCTCCTGCAGTAAGATGAAAAAAAAAAAATGGTGCGCCTGTTTCAATTACTACATCATTCACATAAAACACTTATTTATTAAAACAAATCTCAAACAGGCTGCGAGGAGAGGATGTCGGTAAATATAAGTTTGATTGTGTTATCTTGGGGGAAATAATGTATGTGATCGCTCGGTGGCAGAGGGAAGCCAAATGAGCCACTAGCGCGTAGCGAGGAGAAAAGGGAGGTTGGCTGTGTGGAAATGACTGCGAGCGTTTTGCCGGCTTCCATTCCGTGTTGCAAGGACTCGGCAGCGCAAACTCCCCGGACTGATTTTCTGTATTGCACCTTCTGGCTTTCAACTCTCCCCCCGCCCCTTTGCCCTTCTTTCAATGGTTTTTTTTTTTTTTTTTTTTCCTTCTGTGTCTCATTTTACTCGCTGATTAAATAAGAAAAATCGATCTGGGGGTGAAGGCGGTGGTGGAGAAACAAGTAACCCTTTTGTTCCCAGGCTTCTGGTCCACAAGCAATGAAATGTGAAAGCTGGCAACCATTTAACCACCACTACGTGAAAGGTTCTTCCCTGGAATTAGTAACAAAGCTTTTCCACCTGGTCCTAGGCAGCTCCAAAAAAATTTTTTTAATTTTTTAAAAATGAGGTCCCGGCCAACCATGTTAACACTTCGGGCTAGTCTCATTTTTTAAAAAAATCGATTTGTGGGAGATAAATATACTAGGAAGATTAACCCGTTAAACAGTCCCAGTACCATTTTTAAGCCGAGGGATTGTCAGAGTTCCCCTTCCCCAAATATTTAACCCTCTCTTGAGGAGAGCCGGTGTCAAAGTCCTCTGAACGCAACACCGTGCAATCCACCAAGAACACAAAAATATTTTAGAATGTATTGTAGGACAAATGCCAGCAACCAAGTTAATGGGACTCTGAGGTCATAGGACAAGAGAGGTTAATATGAAATAACAAGTTTAACAATAACAAGTATTGTACTGTAACCGCTAATATACTTAAGCTAATGTATTTATATATATTAAGCCTTTAAAGCACTTTTAGTTTTAATTTTTCATTGTTATTTTCCATCACTTTTAGGAGCTGGAATATGGAAATTTTAAAGTCAAAGGGTGCACTGAATTTAATTGAAAGTGTCATGATCCCAAGTGTTAAAGATGCAGCACTACCGGGTTTGTAATTTCCACACGACAATCGCAATTTAAGAATGTGTCTTAACTGAGTCAAATGGACATATAAAGTGAATTAGAGCTAGCAGAAGATTGCTTATGATATAAATATTCAGTGATGACTTTGTGGATCAATAAAAATATTTATGTCATATGTTTTAAGTAATGTCTATTGACTCGTGTTTGAGCTTTCGATGTATTTAGTTCATTTTTTAAAATGCCAATTAGTTGTTTCACTACCCAAGATGAACTCGATTTGATGCTAAAATAGTAATAAACAGCAGTTTCCATCCTTTGCTGGGGTACATAAACTAGAGGAATGCAATCTATAATAGTCCTTAGATCTGCCTAAATAGATTTATTTTCAAAGCAAAGCCGTACATTAACAAATAGGGCAGAGAAGATAATCTGATACCCACTTACCGTCTATTTTAACTTTCATATTTGTTTTATAATTTTGAACGTACAGATTTTACAATTTGTGTGTGTCCCACTGCTAATAGAACATGCACGTTGATTTTTAACTCTTCTTCTTTTAGAAGAGTGGTTCCTCAAAGGACCAGATCACTCAGGCACTTCCTATGTCCCTGGAGTATTTCCATCTTTGGAAGCCCATGGCTACCCTGTATAATCAGCTTGGAAAAATCAATAATTAGCTTTTAAAACAACTGGACTTGAAAAGGCATAGAAAATAAGACCTGCTGAAGTTCATAAAGGGTAGAAGCAACACCTCCAACACACTCCCTTGGTAAACGCAAATCACAGGCTCTGCAGCATAGACTTAGTGTAACTAAAACCAAAGTTTAGGCTTCCTGATATTCAAATAATCTGATCTAACCCTTACTTCAATACTTAACCCTAATTCTTCAACCTTTTTAATAAACCCCACCCGGTTAAAGATAAAGGCTTATGCCAAATTCAATCACATATTTAACCCAAACCGTTTTTGATAAATTCAAGCATTCTCCTTCCATTCCAACATCTCCACACTCCGTTCGCACCCCGCCCCCACCTCCTACCCTCCAAGTTCCGCCTAGAGACTTGAATCAACCAGAGTCATTCTGCTGGCTTTGTGAGTGTTTGTTTTCTTTTGTTTGACAAAGGGGCCAATCAAGAGACATCAGAGGGCTATCAGCTAATTGATGAATGAAACTAAGATAATTAACTACCGGCTTAGAAAATCAGAGCTACTCCCCTCACAAAAGTGGGAAGTTCTACCATATTTTAGAGAAGAAAATTTTATCCGCCTCTCTTATCAAGATGATAGGGAACATACTAGTCTGCGTACTGATATCCATACGCATATAGTTGAAAATACCAGTACACTATTGTATAACATGTATACTTTGTAATTTTACATCTTAGTGTGTGTCTACTCAGAGATGTGGTAAAGGGGAGCAGCTGTCTGGAAAGGAGTCTAGGAGGAAAGAAGGGGTGGGAGGAGCCAGAAGGATAGTGTAAAAGGAGCAGTTAAAGAGTGCTATCCCATCTCCAATAACCACCACCACCAGCTGAGCTCCTGCTTGTACTGCTTCCATTACTAGGTGATCAGAAGATCCTGGCACAAGACTTTTCCTCCTTTTTAAGGGCAAAGAGCTCAGTGCTGAGGCCAGGGGCTTCAGGCAGTAACACAGGAAAACACAGTGGTCTTTCTTTGGTGCCCATTTCCTCTGGTTTGTGCTGTATTGTAAAAGGATCAGAAATAATTTCTTGGATTTTTGTTTATTTGGAAGGCAGTCTATACGTGGGTCTAACTTTTCTAAATCTATGCCAACTTTGACACTAGAGAGTTGCTCAAGACCAAGGGGAAAAGGTGGAAAGCAAAGTTATTTAAAAAAAAAAAAAAAAAAAACCTACCTGGGAATGGACTTACGAGAAAAAAAACTTAATTTAGACATAATGAGAAACTTTCTGGCTGCCCAGGAAGATTGTGGAGAAAGGGTCTTATCTGTCTGGACTTGGTTATGAACAGACCTGCCTCAAGGCTGTGGGCAAGTGACCTGGTTTCTAGGGAATATGGAATGGGTGATTTATTAAGACACCCGCACAAACACTAGATGTTCTTCACTTTACCTAGAGATAACATCCTAACTTGCTACCGAGGAAAGGTCTTTTAGAGAAAGCTCTTTTCAAACATGCTTCCTAAATCCAATTCAAGTTTCTGTATTGTTAACAATATCCATCTCTAAACAACTGTCCCCAAAAAGAGATAAGCAGTGTTCTCAGTCAAACATTTGACGTTTTTGCAATATCCTGAAATATCACTGGACCAAAAAAGAGTGCCAAGAAGCAGATGTCTAGTGGAGAGAGAGGACCTGGCACAGAAACATTTTATTTCATCCCCATGGGAATGGGGGAAGTACTTAGGGAAGCAAGACACGGATGGTATTCACCCTGCCATGGAAGACACCTCATGAGAGACCCATGGACATTCTGATATACATTTTGTGAATACAGACATTCACACACACTATAAAACACAGCTGTGTTAACTTTTCAGGTCATTTCTATGCTCTATTAGTTCACCTTCAATTTAAACTCCTCAGCGTAAAACAAAGGGACTCTACATCCAAGGGAGGGAGAATGATGTCTATCTTCCAAAACCTTTATAACACGGTTTTGCTTAAACAAATTGAAATGATATAAAGCAAATTTTCCATGCTCTGAGACTCACGACTACAATGAATTTTAATAGTAAAGAACTGTAAAGTTAAAGGAGTTTCTCCCTGTATGTGTCGGTATTTCCCCATTCCTTCTCCCAAACCTCAACCTGAAAAGAATCCAAAAGGAAAAGCAGCAAATCTTGTCCCTTTTATGCCATACAGTCCTAGGGAACCCAGCAAAATATTGCAAAACAGCACATTCTTCTAAAGGAAAACATCTGTATACTGCTCACATTGAGAGAACTGTGATGTAGGTCAGTGTTAAGTATCTGAAATCTTACCTCTGCTTGCCGGGTCTTTCTGGTGTGGTGTGCACTACTATATCTGAACGGGTGCCCAAGCAAAGTCTGCAGATCAGTTAGCAAAGGAAGGCAGTTTACATCGCATGTAATGAAACCATTTCTGGAAAAGGATTTTTCTTTTATGCCAGTGGAGACCGGGTGCCTAAAGAAGATCAAAACACAAGTTACATTTTTTTAAAACTACTTATTGGAGATTGCTGTTGCTGGTTTTATTACAATATGTATTTTACAGATTTAGGTAATAGCCCTGATTTTTCAAATCGACCTCTGTTTAGACACGTTTCACTTTGGGCTGTTTCTTGTCTGCAAAATTACAGTCATTTGCACGTTATTACAGTGGGTAGGAGACAGATTGTATTTAGCATTGGGTGGGGGAAGGGTTATTATGGGAAGTGATCTGCTACGGTCAGCACATAATTTCAGCCTGAAGAAAATTGCTTCTGAATGGCTGGTCTGTTAGCTAGCCAAGCAATGGTCACTGGGAGAAACTGAAAAACACTTCTGCTTAATCTGCATTATAGAATTATTCTCATTTCCAGAAAGATGGTTTGTGGAAAAAATGATTGTAAAACCAAGTTTAAAAATGTGGAGGTGAAATGTTGTCAATGCTCTATTTGAATCTAAAACAACTACAACAAAATACAAACCACCAAGCAGGAGAGGGCCAAAAGGCAGCAGGATACAGCCGTGTTCTACTCCATCTTTCCTCCTTGCCTCCCTTTTTCTGCTCCCCCTTTGGTTGTTTTCAAAAATCTCTATGACTTAATGACAGTGGATTTTTATGTATGTGTAAACACTGGTGAGAGTAACACCAAATACATTGATAAATGTATCTCTTGCTTTCATACGTATATGACTACATGAAAAAGATTTCCTAATATAGCTTCTTTTTGGAGGGTAGCAGAATCCCCTTAATTGTGAGAGTATGTCATACGCTTTTGGCACGAGAATTTAAGGACTTTCCCACACTTTACAAACTACATTGTATTTGTGCGTACTTCACAAAGCTGACAGATTAATAAAGCAAGGATGAAAGCGTATCAGAAATTATAGCCCTTGTCTAATTTATAATTTAAATCAAACCCTTATGAATCGCCTAGGAAGTCTTAACATACTTGGTTAGAAAAAATCAGGAGACAGGTTTATTTTAAAGAAAAATAAAAGAATACGATTATACTCAGCTCCTTGGCTGCTGAGTAACACTTTCGTTGTGAACAACTGTGCCTCTTTTGTTTTCAAAACAAGCTTTCCTAAAGGATGAATCACTACAATCATTTGGAGAATATGCAATAAACAACAGAAAGCCAGAAAGTTGTTCTGCTGTTTTCTCAACAGAGCATTTCCGTCCCATCCTCAGCTCAGCTGAGCCTCCAGTCCACCAGCCAATCATCATTATGGAAATATGGTTCTCAGCCTCCTGATTGGCTGATTCCTGGGCCAGTATGTTAAGGTTTCTTCAGCTCAATGAACACTGCATACCAGCCTGCTCTGGGGACCCTCTTCTTCCAAAAATATTTTAATCACCTTTCTTTTCTTTCCTTCCGTCTTTTTCCAAGATTCTTAAAATCATCCAGGGAAGAACCTTGTATTCTTTTTAAACACTTTTGAAACGTAATGATCATATTGGGGATCTGCTAAGAATGGAATTTAATGTCCAGGGACATTTCTTCTAACCATATTTTAATGTTTTCTATTTATTGGGTTCTCATGGTGTTTCCTTGGATTTGAGAGGAATTCCCACACAAGTTACATGAACAAACTGTTCTAACACATGCTTTAATTTTTTTTTCTTAAACATTACCTGTCCCAACTAGAATTCTTTTCTCTGAGATTTTTTAAAATTTAAAACATGAAATTAAAACAATACTGAAAAGTAATCGCGTCAAACAATTTTTAGGAGCAAAGAAGACAATGTATTTTCCCTCATAATTAAGGCAACTTATCTATAATTTTTTTAATTGTTCAACATTTTACATTGTTATCCCCCAAAACCCACAAATGTCTTAAGGATGCACAACTTTTTCAAACTTAAAAGAGGTTTGTAATTTAAGATAGTGGATAATAATGGGAAATATATGTGCGACTTACCATGTTCCAGAAATTCTTCTTAATTCTTCGTATGTACTGATTCATTTAATCTTCATAACAGCCCCATGAGATATCATCATCAGATGAGGAGACTGGGACAGAGAAAAGATAAGGAGCGTTTTCAAGTAACAAAGCCAAATCTTGGTGGAGCCAAGATTTAATGGAGGAAGCCTGGCCCGAGTCTGGCTGCTTAACCACTGCACTTGACTGCCACCCACACATGGTTCCAGACAACGGTTCCACCCATTTGGTTGAGCACAGAAACATTAGCAGGTGACCGGTGACTTCTCTTCCCGAAAGAATAATGAATTCAACTGCTTTTCAATCAAAGAAAAGCCACTGTGTCTTCTTTCCACCAGAGATTAATACTATGCCAAGAAGATGCGGCACCTAAGACTCAGGATTAAAACAAAGAAAATCAGTTTCTTGTTATTATGCAACTGAAATGTTTGAAACATTAAAAAAAATTACAACGATGGGCAGCACAGTGAGGTTAAAAATGACATACGACTGGTTTTTTTTGTGTGTTTTTTTTTGCGATATGCGGGCCTCTCACTGTTGCAGCCTCTCCCGCTGCGGAGCACAGGCTCCGGACGCGCAGGCCCAGCTGCCATGGCTCACGGGCCCAGCCGCTCCGCTGCATGTGGGATCTTCCTGGACCGGGGCACGAACCCGCGTCCCCTGCACCGACAGGCGGACTCCCACCCACTGCGCCACCAGGGAAGCCCACGACTGGTCATTTTTGAGACTGGTGATGTATACATTGGAATCATAATATTATTCTTTATGTAATACACACATATATACTTGGAAATTTCTATATTAAAAGGGTAAGAAGAAAAGCTACTAGGTCTTTGCGAAGGAAGAGTTATTCAGGAACACAATTTATTCCTTGGCTTTGGAACATTTTTGGCATTAACCTAATAGGGTAAAATTCTCTCAAATGACAGTGCTGTGTATACAAACAAGCAGGAGCAGATTATACTTGCTTCCTACCATTTGTTTACTCAGGTTTTTGTTTGGTTATTTGTTTTAGGTCAAATTCACTCGCTGCGCTATATATGGTAAAAATCTGTAATGTTCTACTTATATTTTCAACATGCACTATTTGAACACTTTGTAACTTTCTATATAAAGTATTTCAATCACAAAGGAAAAAAATTGGGCTTCCCTGGTGGCACAGTGGTTGAGAGTCCGCCTGCCGATGCAGGGGACACGGTTCGTGCCCCGGTCCAGGAAGATCCCACATGCGGTGGAGCAGCTGGGCCCGTGAGCCATGGCCGCTGAGCCTGCGCGTCCGGAGCCTGTTTTCCGCAACGGGAGAGGCCACAACACTGAGAGGCCCACATACCGCAAAAGAAAAAAAAAAAAAAAAAAAGGAAAAAAATCAATCCCACATAGAAATATATTCAATAGAAATTAAGAAATGAAGATTCAACATTTCATCACAGGTATATTATACACTGGGAGAAAGAAAAAAGTATTTGGTAATTTAGATTCCTTCAGGGCATGTTTTCTGTCTTATTCAAAGAAATAGAGTTGTAGAAGTGAAACCAACAGTTCAGATACAGAATTAAATTCTTTAAAATAGTAACATACAGTGAAAGACACTATATAATATAAGCAACACTGAATAGAATTAGACTAAATGAAGAGAAAAATGTTTAATCTTTACACAAAGAAGGCTATGACACTGAGATTAAAAAGAGCATTGAAGAAGATGAAATCATGGTAACAGTTACTATTCTTAACAAATAGGATATAATTTTGTGAAATAATGAGATTATAACACAAGGAGTCACTGATAAAACTGTTATAGCAGAAAATGGATAAATCATTAAATATAATGAGATTTAACTATCATTGTGAGAGAAATGATATGTAATTAGAAAAAGGAATAGAATATAAAAAGAAAGCAATGTTTCTGCGGTTCTACATTACTAAAAGTCTAGTGATAAAAGAGGAAAGTATTTCTGACTCTATAAATAAATTATGGACACAATTATCATTAATTATAATAACAACAGTCCTCTCAAATCCAAACTCAGGACCTGGCAACCTTTCATTTTACTTAACAAACACCTGTATAGCACTTACTCTGTGAAAGGCACTATGTTAAGCATTTTATAAATATTAACCCATTTCCTGAGATTAAGTTTGAGATATTCATTCAACCTCTATTGTGTTATACAGGTTCACAGAAAATACCAAAAGGAATAAGACATCACATCATCTCTGATCTAGAGATGCTTCAAATGTCATAGTTGAGGTAAGACACTTGCCAAACTCCAGAGAGGATTTAATTTATGATAGTCCGTAAAAAAGTATTACTTTGGGGAAGAAGAAGAGCTAACATTATCTAAAGAGTCAGTACAGACTCTAGGAAAGAAGTAGGTGAAATTGTTGTCCCACATTAGGATGCAGCTGGAGGAAGGTCATGCCAAGAAGAGGAAACACAGCGAACATAGGTATAGAGGCAAAAAAGAAGAGAACAGCAGTGTTAGTTCAGCTTACCTAGATCACAGGTACCCTGAAGGGGAGGAATGGTGGTCAGATAGATGTAGGTTGAAGGCTTATTGTAATAGGGCCATTATGAATCTGCAGAGAGGTGTTTTGGTGAGAGAACTATGGAAGCTGACATCCAGCTCATGCTCTGTTCACCAAGCTATGTGCTCTGGCTCTGTGCTGTGTCAGCCTAAGAAAGGGCAGCCTTTCATAATGTATAAAAGGGTGCTCTCAGCCAGACTGGACTGGATGATGGTCTTTATCCCGTGATGGGAAGTCTGAGTTTATCACAAGGCAATGAATGGCCTAGCTTTAGTAGGCCTATGGAAAACTCTTAAATCTCTTATAAATTAATTTACAGTCATATATATATGTACATGTATATGTATATATATGTATGTGTGTGTATATATATATATATATATATATATATAAAGAGAAGGTAGTCAGAAGGTAGTAAATGAATCATATCATACATGATGCCTGGCAGAGTTCTTGGAAATTGTAATGTTCAAAATATGTTTGTTAAATTAATGAACTTATATTGAACTTCTAAATGTGAGAAGAGTAGAAAGGATTCCCAAAAAACGTAGGGGATCATAATGGTTAACGAGCAGTTCAAGGTGTATTGAGATAATATTCAAGCCAACATGTAAATTCAGTGGACAAATGATAACAATAAACATGTAGTAAACCAACTCTGAACTTAGAAACTCTCAACTTAGAAAGTACAATTTCTATAAGAATACTCTACAGCCAAATTAAATAAACTAACCAGAACAGAGAGAGGTCTTTATGAATGTAAACCTGTTGAAAGATAGGTCTTTATGAGTGAAAACATGTTGATTGAAGCAAAAAATGTCAACAAACAGAACATAGGGTCAAAAACGGTCTCCCTGGGGAACACCAACATCTAATTTGGGGTAGAAAATACAACTGCTTGAATGATGAATGAATGAGCAGAGAGAATAAAAGGAAAAGCAAAAAACCAACAGGGAAGGGATACTTCTGCGAAGGACAGAGTGATCAACAATTCAAAATGCATCGGGAAAATCAAGTAAGTGTAAGACTGAAAAGCCTCCATTGGTTTTTACTTGGGAGAAAGACTTAGTGATCGTAGAAAGAGCAACATAAGCAAAATGGTAGCAAAAACCAATGGGTTCAGGACTGAAACAGAGGGGAGCAAATCAAGAGATCAAATGAAGCCTACTCTTTTTAGAAGCTTGCTGTTGAAAGGGAATAGAGAGGGTAGTTTGAATAGGGTCTGGGAGGAGACTTTTATTGTTGTTGTTAATATGAAACAGCCTTCAACACCCATTTTGAGAGAAAGGAATCGGCAGAGAGAGGAGTTGAAGTTTTAGAGGTTAGTTGATGAACACAGATCTGAGCTGAGAAAGGAGGGTCAGGGAAGGAGAGACCATTCAGCTGTGTCTGCCGCAGGACCATTCCATCATGAACAAGTATTTCTAGCACAGAAAACCCAAAGTGGAGGGAGTTAAGTGGAGACTCAGGGAGCTGCTTGAACAAGGAGACTGTCCCTCATGCAACAAGATCATAAGGACCTCAGTGCAACCCAGAACAGTCTTAGCAGGCAATGAAGTGAAATAGCTAATATGAATAGAGACCCAGATAATCAGAATTTTTAATTCAGATACCTAGAGTTCTTAATAATTCAGTATATCCTGTAACTTTCTGGGAAGCTGATGAGTTAAGGAAAAAGAAACTTGGGATATTAGAACAGATTTATCTTGCCAAAGTATAAAAATGTTAATGAGTGTATTGTTTTAAATTAGTCTCTCCCTTTCTTAACAGGGTTTAGACAATAAAAATAAGAAGGAACTTTCCATTCCAACTTTACATCCCACTGGGTCATATGTGTCTAAGGTAAAAGGCTTCTGTATTTACAGCTATTTGTAAACCCAAAGTGAAGGTTTGTCATTGACCCACATTTGAGGCACCTGCCTCAATATAAAATGTAGCTGACACCATTAAAATCTTACTAGTTTATTTTATTCCTTTACTTAAATATCATTTATCAAACACCAAACTATATTCTAGACACTGTGCTAGACTTAATACAAAAAATAACTTTATTGGTTTATTCTTGAAAAGGACCCATGTTTTATATTTTACTTTCAAATTTTTTTTAAAAGTTGGATGGTCACTTAGTGATGAACGCAATTCTACAAAGTCATTAACCCTTGCACTCTAGAAACAAGAAACTAATTAATGAACTCCCTGCATCCCTCAGCTGAGGCATAGGTCAGTATCAGAAAACAGGGCTCAGGATGTCCAGTTCCAGCAGCAAGGTTGTCAAAACCATAGGTAACACCAGGTCACAAACAAAACTTCCAAGATGAGACTGTTTCAAGAAGAAAACAAAAATAATCTGCAACCTCAGCAGCCATCTCAGAAAATTTATTTAAATTCAATAGAATAAATAGTGAGTAAGAAAGAGGAAAGCTCCTAGGATGATAAATATCATTTTGCTGCCAACAGAATCAAACTATATATTAAAGATGATTATACAAAATATTCTAAAAATATTTCCCAAAACATTCAAAGATGTTCTAATGGAAAAA